AGGGCAGGATCTCTGAAGACATCCTTATTGACGACAGTTTTGTCCAAGGGGATGTCCACAGAGTACCTTGTGGGCATCAGGTGATTGTAGTTATAAACTTTCACAAAAGACTTGATCTTTGACCTCTTGGCGATCTTCTTCTTGCCCATGGCAGCTGTCACTTTGCGGGGATAGCGGTCAATTCCAGCCACCAAAGCATGGCTGTAGGGGCGATCTGAGGTGCCATCATCAATGTTCTTCACAATGACGGCTTTGCGTCCAGAGTAGCATCCAGCCAGGACAAGCACCACCTTCCCAGGTTTCATGAACTTGCCCATTTCAGCAGCTCCCACTCGGGCCTACAGCAAAAAGGAAAGAAGAACACTTCCGCTAATCCGGAAATGGGATTTTCTTAAACATATGTTTTACTCTAAGAAGTGGCTGAAAAGCTATTTTCACTTTATGAGCAGAATCATATTTACACAGCTGGGAAGGACTTCTGGGGAGCATCTGGTCTTGACTACTGAGGCCAAATAGGACACCTGCTGCCACTGTGCTGATCTTGGGTCCTGTCAGTGACCAGGAAGAGGATGCTCTGTGTCTGGCTTGACCCCTCCCTTCCCCCAGAGGTTGCTAGCATGTTCTGTTCATCCGGGATGTTTTCCTGTGGACTGCAGAGGTATCTAGCACATGAACCAGAGATCTGGAATGAGCCCTGGGAACCAAAAATTTATGCAAAGCACATTTTATCATCCTGCCAAAATCAGCAACAACACCTAGAGGTGAGTGGGGGGTGAATAGTGTGCATATTATCAAATAGCACAAAGGGAGTGTTGCAAATATTGTAGGGTTGCCTGCCTTGTTCCTTGTTAGCAGGACCCCAAGCTTTTTTTTCAGGAGTCTGCCTTCTGCAGGCCAAGCTGTTGATAGCCCTAAGCTGTTGTGTGGGTGAGTGCCAAGGATTTGTTGAGGAACAGCCATGTGATGCCATTCTAGCCCTTGAGACTAGGAGGAGACGTCTGCTGGGACCTCCTAGAGAATTAGATAAGAGGAGATGCTTGAACGGCCCATCTCTTCTGCTGGACTTTACTAGGTCTGCGTGTAAAAGCTAGCTGTTGACCGTGAGGACAGGGCTGATACTGATGACAGGAGAGGAAGACAGAGGTACGTGTCTCTTTAAGTTGCTCAATTAATGTACCCTGAAACTAACCTATCTCAGGACTTGTTATATATAATAGAAGATTACCTTTGAAATTCTCTATGACTTGCAGCAGTACAATTTGCAGATGAAAACTGAGGCTGAGTGAGATGAGGTGACACCCCGCCACCAAGATTCCACTAGATGTGATGGAGATGTGTTGAGAGTCACACTTAGACTCCAGCCCAAGCCCAGGATTACTCTTTCTAATTTGCTAAGCACTGGTCTCTGTGCTGAGGATGGCCACTCTGTCCTGGAGAGCTTCAGGCCCATTTCCTCCTCAGAAGGACAGCTTTCAGAAACCACGTGGTACAGTATGGGACCAAGAGTCTTCTCCTGCCTGGAGCTTGTCCTATGACTGCCTCTGTAACCATTTTGAGTGCCTTGGGGCTTCTAACCTGGTAGGTGTCTTTTGAGGTGTACTTGGTGAGCTTTCTCTGGCATTTGGTTTTCAAGAGTTCTCTGGTTGTGGGGTATCGAGAATATTTTCAGAGAGGAGCAGAAGGGAGAGGTCTGTACCCCATCCTTGGACTTCGGATCTTCCCCATTGTCCTGATTGGTCCAACTAGGTCATGTACCCTCTCTTGCATCAATCATCATTGCCTACTGGCTTACATAAGGGGCAGGGTGGATATCTGAATAAAACAGGGGTTCTGTTAGACACCTCCCCTGGGGAACATACGCTTCTGGAAGACAGACTTTGTCTTTGCTCATGCCCTGTTCCCAGGGCCAGAAATGGCGTCTAGCACACACCATAGTAGTCATTCAGTAAATGCTGAAGGAGTACTGAGTGCTGGAAGGCGGTGGTGGAAAAGTGGCTGATGGATAGGCAGCTAACAGTGTCTGTTGCATTTGGCTGGTAGAGTTGATGTACTGCAAATAAACTTCTTGTTCAAATGGCTGGCTCTTTCTGGTGAATCTGCCAGCAATTCCAATGATGAGGGGAAGCACTCTGTCCAAGCCTTACCTAAGGAGTTCATTTATATGATTCTGTCTTCTGGAGGTTTCCATTTTGGGAAAGGAAGTGGATGAAACAGATAGAAAATGGTTTTAAAACACTCCTGGCAAAAAGAAAACCCATTTAAATTAACATATGTTGCTCCTAAAAGCACTATCTGCCTTGATGCATTAATGAACCTAGGATAGGCCAATTCCCTGGGAGGCTACCCTGGCAAAAGCCACTGTGGTGAAGACTAGACAGAAGGGACAGCAGACCTTATTTGAGGACCAGGGATAGACCTACGTTGGAGTGGACTCTAGGTCTGCTGCATCCTCTAACAGAAGGTCTTGCAAAGAAAAGACACTTGATAAATTCACTGCTGGTTTTTATTTATTATTTTTTTTTGAGACGGAGTCTTACTCTGACGCTAGGTGGGAGAACAGTGGTGCAATCCGCCTCCCGGGTTCAAGCAATTCTCCTGCCTCCTCCTGAGTAGCTGGGATATTACAGGTACGCACCACCACATCCAGCTAATTTTTTTATTTTTAGTAGAGATGGGGTTTCACCATGTTGGTCCGGCTGGTCTTTAACTCCCGTGGTCTGCCCGCCTCAGCCTCTGAAAGTGCTGGTATTACAGGAGTGAGCCACTGTACCCGGCCAATTCACTGCTGTTTTAAGAGCTGAAAGTAAGAGAGAGAGAGAGGGAGAGCTAGAGAGAGAGAGAGAGAGAGAGAGAGAGAGAGAGAGAGAGAGAAAATGTGTGTGTGTGTGTGTGTGTGTGTGTGTGTGTGTGTGTGTTTTCAGCTCTTAAAATACCAGTGAACCAAGCAACGTGCCAGACTCTTGAGCATCCTGTTATACATCCTGGCCAGTGAGACTGGGATGGGATCTGCTCGGGGTGTCCTGTGTATGTAGAAGAGAGGAGATGTGGGAGGGGAGCTTCCTCGGGAGGCACACAGCCAAATCACAAACAAGAGCCTGTGAATGGGGAAACAGCAGACTTAGAGATCAGGAATGCTGAGGCAGAGGTGGGGGATGGGCAGGTTTAAATGGGATGCTTTGGCAAAGCCTGAGTGAAAGGTAGCATTTGAGCAAAGACCTTGTTGCAGGAATCAGATTTTGAGCTGGAGATTTTTACATGCAGAATTATTGGGGAGGGCTCTTGGGATCCACACCAATAAAGGAGTGAGAGAAGCAGGACCATACAGAAGGAGAAGGCAAGCTGTGATGTAAGCACAGCGAAAGCCGCAGCCAGCCCTGTTAGGATCTCTGGAGCTGGGGAACCCCTTCAGTGTTGTCCCAGATTGGGGTGGAAGATCCAGGCCCTTTACTTCCGTGTCCACAGTCTGGATATAGGCTGTTTTGGGAAGGAGGCCTGACCCTGCCAAAGGAGTTCTTCCACTGAGGGTAGGTCCTACCTGCAGAAAGACTGCAGGGAGCTGTCAGGGCTGCCAACACTCCACAGATAGCTGTGGGAGTGTGCTTCAGTTCCTGGAGGCTAGGGACCTGCCATGATACCACAGCATCCACTACAGGCCTGATGGAATGGGGAAAGTGCCATCTGAGGGAAAACCATTCCAGGCAGAAAGAAGAGCCAGAACTTGCCTGGAGGGTTTGAGCAGTAGCAGGGCTGTCATTGTGATTGGAGCAAGGCAAGGGCCCTGAGAGTGGTGGTCAGAGGGTGAATAACAGACTGATTGGGAGAGTCTAGTAGGCTGCTAAAAGGCCTTGATTCTCACTGCAAGGGGAGCAGAGGACTACTGTGGTCTGACGTGGCTTTTAGAGGTCTTTCTGACTGCTGCCTGGAGACTAGATTGGTTGTGGGGGTTCAGGAGGAGGGAGAAGCCACACCAGTTGTAACGCTAGCTACTGGTAGTAATCCAAGCAAGAGAGATGGTCTGGATAAGGATGGTGATGGCTGTGATGGCAAGAAATGGTTGGAGCTAGTGGGGAAACTGTGTGTATGTGTGTTCATGTAATACATGTATATATTTGTTAATATGTATATGTGTGTATTATATACATAATACACATTATTTTTAGGTATAATTTACGTAATAAAAGTCCAGACCTTAAATGTATAATGTGTTGAATTTTGACAAATTAATGTACTTTGTAACCTGTTACCTGATAAAGATAAGGAACATTTGCATCTCCCCAGAAAGTTTGGGTTATGGATATGTTGGGAAGGTAGGGTCAACAGGGTCAAATATGGGGTATGAGATAAGAGAGAACAGGCTGGGCACGATGGCTCACACCTGTAATCCCAGCACTTTGGTAGGCCAAGGCAGGCAGATCACTTGAGGTCAGGAGGTTGAGACCAGCCTGGCCAACATGGCAAAACCCTGTCTCTACTAAAAATACAAAAATTAGCCGGGTGTGGTGGTGGCGTGTGCCTGTAGTCCCAGCTTCTCAGGAGGCTGAGGCAGGAGAATTGCTTGAACCTGGGAGGGGGAGGTTGCAGTGAGCTGAGGTCGAGTCACTTCACTCCAGCCTGGCTGACAGAGCGAGACTCCATCATACACATACACACACACACACACACACACACACACACACACACACGCACAAAAGATATAAGAGAGAACAGAAAGATGAATTCCAGTGTCAGGGCAGAGTTGCTGTCTAATGAGATCAGTAAGACTGTGAAAGTCCTTAGGAAAAATTTAAAACCACACAAAGTAAAACACATTATTAAAACTTTTAATGTGGTTTTTCAGACCATTTGGGAAAAAAAAAACAACTGAGTGACTATGATTTTAGACAACACATTATACAAGTGTCTGAATTTTTTTTTTTTTTCAGTTTCTTAGATTTTAAGTGTCTGAATTTTTTTAAGACTTTAGCCAAATCCCCCTCAGTCACCAAAGCAAATCCAATATTTTTGTTGTGTAGCCTCCCTTACAGACCTTGCATTGTACAGATAACTGGAATAGCTAAAATGTTGCTGTGCAATTTTTTTTTTTTTTTTTTTTTTTGAGACAGAGTTTTGCTCTTGTTGCCCAGGCTGGAGCACAATGGTGCAACCTCGGCTTACTGCAATCTCTCTGCCTCTGGAGTTCAAGCGATTCTCCTGCCTCAGCCTTCTGAGTAGCTGGGATTACAGGCATGTGCTCCACACCCAGCTAGTTTTTTGTGTTTTTAGTAAAGATGGGGTTTCACAGTGTTGGCCAGGCTGGTCTTGAACTCCTGACCTCAGGTGATCCATCTGCCTCTGCCTCCCAAAGTGCTGGAATTACAGGCATGAGCTACCATGC